GGCTGAGTCATCTTTGAATTGGTCAGGATTGAACTGCTGGCTTGGGCAGTGTTAGCCTGCAAAACTAGATTCGAACCATTGTGCCACCATGGCTCTATTATCACTTTATTGCTGGTAAAGGTAGAACCCATATGTTCCATATAGCAGAGGTCCCCAATCTCGGCCACTTTATGACTTGTGGACTTCAACTCCCAGAATTCCTCAGCCAGCCATGCTGGCTGAGGAATTCTGGAAGTTGAAGTCCACAAGTCATAAAGTGGCCAAGGTTGGGGACCCCTGCCATATAGTATTGTAGAAATGGAGAAGCTGTCATTCTTTCAGTGTTACCTGAGCTATAGGTAGTCCTTAGGTTACAATGGCAATTGGGACCTGAATTGCTCTTGATGTGATGCAGCACAATGTCAGACAGTCACATTATTTAGTGATGGCCTTTCTAGCAGTCCTGGATGCCATGGTTAAGTGTTAGTGAGGGTCACAGACGGTCATTCTCACATTCCCACGTAACATTACACTCAGTGGTCATCTGAAAGCATCTCTTGCCTTTGAAGGACTGAGGGTCCTGGGTGGGAGAGACTAAGCTGAGGATGGTTGAGATTGGTGTAGGGAGCTTCTGGGAGACGTGATCACCATTTGAAAGTTTCCCAGTAAGCCTCCAACAGCCAAGGTCAAAGTGGAAGCCATCAGGAGGTTGCAAGTCACAGTCACATGTGAGCCTCACCTAATGGCCACCTGGTGCTCACTTAATAACCACAAGTAGGGACTGCCAGAACTGCTGTGGCTAAGTGGCCCAACAGGTGATGTTTCACTTACCAGCCACTTCATTTAGTGACCAAAATTCCAGTCCCAAGTAGGATCATAACCCGAGGACTTCCTGTACTCTTTTGCAGCACTTGTACATAGAATCCCAAAGTGCATTGTTGAGATAGAGTACGTAACGTGGCTTTATTACACAGCAATACAACAAGTATACACACTGGACACACTGTTTCAGGCTATAATCCAAATGTTAACCCTCCCCCCCATAACTCTGTACAATATTAACAAAAACTGGATAAACTCCAAATCTATTTCTAAGCAGTTTTAATATCTTATCACCCTAAGAAGAATTTAAGATGTTCTTTCCTTCTAATCAGGCCTGAATGATTGATGATGGTCTTGCAAGTTAAGCCAAAGGAAAGTCAGGAAGCCGGGTATACAGTATGTGCTAACTCTAACATTTATTATTCATTTTGTACATTGCCTGACTCCCAAGAGGGTGTGTAGTAATCCCAAGCACATGTCTCAGTTTTCTTTAATACTATTCATGATGTCTCCTTGATATAACTTCCTCCTGGGCCCATGTTCCCCTGCACAGACCATGTGTGATCCTGTCGTCTTCCTTTTATCTCTAGATTGGTGGGAACAATTCTATTATAAGTCATCCTGGCGTCCAGTATGGCTTCATTTTTACTGTCTCCCTTTATAAATAAGTGCAACTTAAGTATCTTAAGATGAGTTATGCATTGCTGCTCAGTGATTTTTTTTTTATGCTGAAGTAATATGGCGGCTGTGTTTTTAAAAACATATAAATGATGAGATGCTTTATTCATTTTCATTGACAAGAAAATATCAGGCAACATTTTAGAAATATACTAGATAAAATATTTTCCAGAGAATAAATGAAATAAGTCCTCCTCAGACTACCCTCACATTTAAAACGAATAGATAATTTCTGCATGATTCTTAAATTATAAAAAATATGAACGGATCTTCTCATGTTTGGCCCTTGCTGGATATGGATCTGTAAAGGCCAACACTGTTTATTCAATTATTCCCACTTTCTTTATTCTTTAAGCATCAATTCACTCCCTTTTAAAAAATGTTAATTTTCAGTTCAGAACAATAGAAGTAATTTTATCTAGTGGTTTTGGTCCCTATTTACATTACTTCAATTAGCTGAATTCGGTAGCTACTAAAATTTCCTCAAGTTCTACTTGGAGAAGGAGACTTATTGTAAAAATGTTAATAATACTTGTATTATATCTCTAGGTAGAACCCTAAAAAAAGGTAAATAGATCACGTAGATTGCTACATAGAAGTAATTCAACTTAACTACTGAAGTCCAAAGAAACTTAGCACAAATTAAAATCATGATCTATTCAAGCAAAGCTTCTGGTAAGTTCTGTTTTCTCTGGAGTGCAAATCTCTACTCATAAAAGAGCCCAGTTTTATCAATCTCTGTAACCTCAAGGTTTCAGGCAGGAGTATCTGTCTCTCTTTTACCTGGAAATGAGAGGGAGCCAGAACAGGACCTGTCCCATATTAACCATGGCCTCAACTATTAAGTTTGCCTCCAAGTTCCAAAAGAAAGCTCCCATGTGAAAAACAGTTATGTATCAGAGTAAATGGGGACTGGATTAAACTTTAAGTGTTTTACCTCTTCTACAGAAAACCATTTGTCTTTCTATTTCTGTATCAGAAGTAAACACATTTTTATTTTCTTTGCTTAAGTAAGAATTTGCAAGAACCCAACAGTTCATTAGCGAGACTGAGCTTGAGAGAAACTGAGTCGTGCCTATTTTTCCAACCTTTTTTGGCTGCAGTTGTTTTGGTACAGTCATTAAGTGAGTCCGATCTCCCCCATTGACTTTGCTTGTTAGAAGCCCCCTAGGAAGGTCATGACCCAAGGACGTTGCCACTGTTGTAAGTACATGCCAGTTGCCAAACAACTGAATTTTGATCACAAGACTATGGGGATGTTGCAATGGCCATAAATGCTTATGACTAAAAAAGTCATAAGACTTTTTTCAGTGCTGTTGTAATTTCTGATTGTTGTTAAGAATGGTTGTTAGTCAAGGACTACCTGTAGTAAGTGATATGAAAGCAACAGGCGAGTAAAGATTAGCAGTTGCCTGAATTGTCGAAAATAATTGCTTTTGAATTAAGGGAAGCTACTTTTCGAATGACAAAGGAGCCAAAAGGTAACAGTAATTGGTTTGTCATTTGTTCATTTTTATGTGACTCTTCCTTCAGAAAGAGTCCAGAGCTCCATCTGAAGAAGAACCATTCATGCTTTCAATCCTGGGAGAAAATATCACACAAAACAAGAGAGAAAAATAGAAGCCAGCCAGAGGGACCTAAAAAGGTGTTTTGTTTAAAAACTGAATGAGCAGATGGCTCTTTGGTTCAAGGTTTTCATAGACATGTTTATTATAATCTACTATGTATTTGTTATACACACAGGCCTGCAGGAAAGTGTGTCTGTGTTCACAATGAATGAAGAAAATGGCTGTACATTGGGACATTGAAAGCTGAACAAGCATTAAGAGCTAAGAGAGAAATCTACGTTTTATAAAATCAGCTGAAACAGAATATACTTTTCTGTTTGTTAATAAACCAGATTTTGATTTTTCAGGGTTCTTTTTTTAACGGTGCTCTCTTTTTTTATGTTTGTAAAGCTCCATACCAAATTGGTTTTCGAGGAAGGTTAAATAATGCATGAGAGGTTTACCCAAATGCTCGTATTCTTGCATTTTATTAAGTACAAGAGGCCAGCACAATGTTTTATAATGCCTTGGTGGCAATAATACTTCCAAGGCATAGTGTTTACATCTTAAATATTTAATACAAAGAATTATCTGTTTACTAACCTTTAAAAAAATGTCTCTTTTGAATTGACTTCATGTCTGTGTAATTTTCTTGACAATTTTATGGGAAAGTTTTGCTGTTGTCTTCTGGGATATTTGTTGGTGCTCTTCTGTACGACTCACTGGTTTATGACAAACGTAGTCCTCTTGAAGACATCTAGACACGGATTGTTGGCATAATCCTTTAATGATATGGTTTTTAAAATGAATCTTGCACTGGCAAAGGATTAGACCAGGGGTCTTCAAACTTGGCAACTTTTAGGACTTGTGGACTTCAACTCCCAGAATTCCTCAGCCAGCTGGCTAAGGAGTTCTGGGAGTTGAAATCCACAAGTTTTAAAAGTTGCCAAGTTTGAAGACCCCTGGATTAGACTTAATGATCTCCAAGGTTCAGGCCAATGATTACGCTTTATTATTTTGTGAATATAAAAGTTTACAATGATCTCCCCTCATTCTATGAAAAAATAGAATGTTATCTTTTTTTTTTCTTCCATTCAGTTATGTCAATTGTCAGAGTCTGCACTTTTCTTGGCAAAGTTTTTCTAGGACTGGTTTACATTTGCCTCTTTCCTTGGGCTGAGAGAAAGTGACTGGCCCAGAATCACCCAACTGACCTCGTGTCTAAGGTGATACTAGAACTCTCGATCTCCCAGTTTCTAGCCTGGTGAAACTAGTTCTTATGATCATTTTAGATATGATATACCTTTCAGAATAGATATCACATCCTTTATTTAGTAAAGTTGAACATTCCCTCTGTAGATCTAAGTCATATAAATGTGATTTCCAAAAACATCTGATCACGCTAGAATGACTGCAATAAATCTAACAATTTAGCACTTCAGAACAAGCTGCCCAAGCATTGTGCTTGACTGCTTGACTCTTCTAGTCATCCTCTAAACTAAAACACGGGTGTCCAACCTTGGCTGGCTGAGGAATTCTGGAAGTTGAAGTCCACAAGTCTTAAAGTTGCCAAGATTGGACACCCCTGCTCTGAAGCCTTTATTTCTTTTTGCAACTAACTGCAGCTACTCATTTGCCCAAAATCAGAATTATTGGTAGTGCTAATTAGGTTTAGAACAGCATTTCTGAATCTTGCCAACTTGAAGATGTGTGGACTTCAACGCTCAGAATTACCCAGTTGGGGTGCTGCCACATCTTAAAAGTAGCTAAGCTTGAGAAAGATTGCTTTAGAGAAAGGCTTGTGGTTATTATGTTTTCCTGAAACAGAGCTGGGAAACTTCATAGTTAGAATGTATCTGGAAGGTATTAGGTAAGGAAAGTGACGCTACTTAGAACCTGTCGTTAGAAAATTGTGACTATTCTTTCTTTGTAAAGAACCTGTTTTGAAAAAGATATTCTGCTTTCTTCCTTTAGATGCGTACAACTCGCAAAGTCTCTGTATGGCCCGTAGGGCTAGTGGGGGGCCGACGCTACGAGCGCCCAATTGTGGAAAAAGGCAAAGTTGTTGGCTGGTACACTGGTTGGCGGGCAGGTAGGCCTTTTGCCATTGATATGGCAGGTGAGTATCTCCTCAGAAATCTCAGCAATTAGTGTAGAAATGGGCATAGATATTAACACTTCTAGTTATTGAAATAATAAGTATAAGCCTGCAAACTCCTGGATCTTATAGTGAGCAGAATCACTTAGAATTCTGGTGATTTCAGCTTTTAAAATGCTTATTTATCAGCAGTACCTTTCTGATCCGCAAGAGGTTTAAGAAGTTTGTAGAAATTTATGGGATTGGTATCTTAATAAACTATGGATTTTAATTCAGTAACTTTAACTGTCTTTTATTGTCAGGAGCATCCTGGCAAAACTCTTTTAATTCTCGGGGAATTCTGAATCAAATTGAACTGAATCACAGATTTTTGGACATCTTGGCCAGCACATCCGCTAGACCCACCAAAAACCAGTTTTATTCTATCTGTGTTGATGCTGGGTTTTTTTGTTTTTTTTGTTTTGTTTTTAAAAGAATCCCTAATCTAGGAACTGCCTTGCAAACCAACACACTGTTACCAATATTCCACCAACTAAGAGGCCCTTGCTGTGACTTTTAAGTTTAAAAACTGCTAGTTCATCAAAAAGATGAATAATTTTGCACAAGCTGCCAAAAAACATGGTTGAAGTGACTTGTAGGCAGATAATAGCTTGAAACGCTTTGCTTAAAGGAGAAATTGACAATAGCTAGCAAAGCAGGAACACTTCAAAAATTAATCTTGTCAATCTTCAGCCGTATCGCAGGCTGCATAGTTAGCCTGCATGCTTGGTCAATCTCTTGTATATGCTAAAGGCATTTCGAGTGCTGTCTGAATTGCTTTTGATGCAGTCACAGATCTATGCCTGCACAACTATAAAGTTTTGAATTTTGATTCATGGGCATGTGGCTAGAAAAGTGGTGAGCATGGAGGAAAGGGCCGTACAGACATACGGTTTATATTTCCTGCTTTGCAATTTATTCATGCATTGTTGGTGAAACGATCTGGCTTATTAAAAACTTTCTATAGAATGCTTAGCAAATTAAAATAATAATAGCGGGAAAATTGCTGAGGGTTACTTCACTCCAGCATCAGCTTCTGTACTTTTTAATTATGAATATTATTGAGCAAATTGAAATGGGCTAATGTCCTAAGCTATAGTTTGTTTACTCATGTTTATTGAATAAACCATAATTTGTCAAATTTCCACAACTTATATTCTCCCTGTCCTCAGGCTCTTATGCTATGAAGGATTCTATAAATGTCTTTGTCTTCATTTAAAATTGTTTTGGGAAGACTGTACTGAAAGACAGGATATAAACAATCATAATAAGTAAGTAATAGGCAAAGCCATAAAATATTTGTAAACGATGGCTGAATTTATGTAACAAGCTATGCCAAAATTAACAAAATCACATTATGACCTAGTTAGTACAGTGTGTATCAGGTTTATAGCTTTCATTCAGTCGTAGAAGGGACTGTCAAAATTCTTAGGTGGATACTGTGTGGAAGCCAACTTGGAACCTGATTGAATGTAGGCTGTTAGATGCATCAATGCTTCATAAAGACTCCTCGGGGATTAGATTTGTATGACTTCCCTGATCAAGCTGCTCCCTTGGTAAGATGATTTATCCCCTGTGCTGATGGTACTTGATAACTGATGGCCCACTGAACTGGCAGTCGGGCCAGTTCCCAACGAAGCCAGCTGATAAACTATTGGTGTTTGGAAGTAGAAAGGACAGACTCAGGCTCCTACCTTATTCAGATGACATAGCTTGAGGCATGAAGAGTCAGTTTAGCTCTAAAAAGTTCCAAGTTAATAATAAATAAATAAATAAATAAATAAATAAATAAATAATGAAAAAAGTTGGGAGGGACCTTGGAGGTCATCTAGTCCAGGGATTTTCAACCAGTGGCACGGGTACCACCTGTGGTACATTGGCACCTGGGAGGTGGTACGCAAGCATCCTAGAAAAGTGTAACGGGGGAGGAGAATGAGCTGAACTGGTGGCAGCACTGCACAAGCCTGAGCAAGAGATGGCTGGAGCTGCAGGGCTGTCAGGGCTCAGCGGAAGCGCCAGGATAGGCGCTTCTTCGGGATTGTCAGGGCTCAGTCGAAGCGCCAGGATCAGTGCCAGGCTCCAGCTGGAACTCGGCACTGATCCTGGCGCTTCTGCTGAGCCCAGAAGAAGTGATCAGCTGGAATGTTGCAGCATCTCCAGGGTCTTGTGATTTATATTTAGATGCTTGACAACTGATTCATATTTATGACGGTCACAGTGTCCCAGGTTTATGTGAAGTGACCAAAACCTGCTGCAACCACCCAGCAGACGGGGGGAATAAAAACCAAACACCCCCCCACCCCACCCCCGCTGCCAATCCTCAACAGAAATGCTCACAACATGAAAACCTCAGACAGGAGGAAAAGTGCCACCGGGCAGGCAGGCAGGCAGGTGTCTTGCTTGGCTGTGGCTTGGGGTGGCAGTTTTTTCAGTGCTATTGTAACTTCGAACAGTCACTAAGTGAACTGTTGTAAGTTGAGGACTACCTGTACTTTATCTTTTTTTTCCTTTGGGGGGGGGTCATCAAGTTTTTGACACCTTGCTAGGTGACTGGTGGTACTCGGATGTTGCCATATCTTAAAAGTGGTACAATGGGTGAAAAGGTTGAAAAGCCCTGATCTAGTCCAACCCGCTGCTCAGGCAGGAAATCCTATACCATTTCAGACAAATGGTTGTCCAGTCTCTTCTTAAAAACTTCCAGTGTTGGAGCATTTACCGCTTCTGGAGGCAGGTTATTCCACTGGTTAATTGTTCTGTCAGGAAGTTTCTCCTTAGTTCTAGGTTTCTTCTTTCTTTGATTAATGTCCATCCATGGCTTCTTGTCCTGCCTTGTTTTAGAATAACATTGATTACTTCTAGGTTAATTTCTAGAACAGTGGAAGGTTGGTGTTTTTATATAACACCTTACTCTAAAACAGTGGTTCTCAACCTGTGGGTCGGGACCCCATTTGGGGTCGAACAACCATTTCACGGGGGTCGCCAAACAACGCAGTCCGCCATTTTTTTCCCCTTTTCTTTAGCTGTGCTACTCCCTTTTATTCTATTGGCTTTTGAAAGCCAATAGAATAGACTCTCTTGAATAGAGTCTAATTCTATTGGCTTTCAAAAGCCAATAGGACTTGTCCAGGCTGTCTCTGCCCTGCTGAGCCCGCCGAAAGTCACATTCTGCAAACGGTGCTACACCAGTTGAGTAGTCCTCAACTTACGACCGGTTGAGTAGTCCTCGACTTACGACCGGTTGGAGGTCGCGGCATTAAAAAGGTTGAGAACCACTGCTCTAAAACCAGATAAAGATGTTACTTGAACACAGTTGAACCCAGCCATTGTGTGGGTTCAATATATATTGGAAGATGTAATTAGTTGTGCAATGTCTGGGGATATTTTTTCTTCCTTTTGGCAGAGTTGTGAAGATGATTTCCTGTAGACATGTTCCAGGATGTTTTTAACACTGTTATGTTTTTCTGCTTCTTTCAACAGCTCTAGAATTTTCATTACCTGAATATTAACATGTGCAGCAAAAACAATTGTCGCAGATTGTAGCTCAGATTTCACACATTAATTCCTATATTAAGTAGGTTGTTCATAAATGAAGCCAAACGCCATCTTGAACTTCCCACTCAGGACTTAACAGGGGAAGAGTTACCCCCTAAGCATCTGGTACTAATTCTTGTTATTTTTTAAAATTAATAAGACTATTAAAGATATATTTAACTCTTAAAGTTTTGAAAGCCAGCTGGTTGCCTTCAGGCTGCCATTACCCTATACATAAAGCTGCAGCTTTATTTGAAAGAATGCAGACTACCTACTTGTCTGAATAATGGCTGTAAGGAATTCTGTGCATAATGATAGGAGACTTAATCAGAATGCTGAGTCCAAGCAATACCTTGAAGATGATAAAAAGAAAGTAATGTTCATCAGTCAGGAGCAACAGAATATTAAACATTTCCCTGAACTAATTTTTCATTCTCCTTCCCTTGTCAGTCCAATCACCTTCCTTCTCTTCCTCCATAAGCTCTCCCTTTCATCTTAAATTGGAAGTAGAATAAATACTACTTCAGAAGAACTAGTGAAAAACACCTATTAAGAGACGATGCAGTACTAAACTTTGCACACCCAACATGATGCTGAGATGTCGTGCAAGAAATTGTACAATGTGTTACTCAGATGGCAGAACTTTATATTTCAAGTTGTTTCTAATTCATAACTCTTGTAGATGGGTTCCATTACAGCTAACAAAATGGATGCAAGAATAAAAATATTGGTGAATGCAGGCAATCACTACTTGTGTTCTTGTATCTTTTAAGGACTTTCTGATGTCTTAACAGCAATGTACCTTGTAAAGATTGTAGTCTTTAGCGATAAGCTTTTTTAAAAAGCAGCTCCATACCAATTTCAAATTTAAGAACCAACAGATCCAACAAGGATCTCATCATATATGGATTACTCTGTTTCAAATGTAATGTTCTTTCAAAATATATTCATTTAAATGGTATTAAAGTTTGCCATACTCCTCACAATTAAAGTCAAAAGCTTTAACCTAAATAATGTTAAGGATAAAATGCCATTTTTATTCTAGAGCTGCACAAAATTTTCTGGACTATGGGCTACACTTATTTCGGGGGATGGAAGGCATATGGTTACTTTTCTAAAAATACTGGGGCCAAGAGAAAAACTAGATTTGATTGCATTTCATTTGCATTTAAAATCAGTTAAGATAGAATATAGCTAATGAGATTATTTTCAAATCATTTAATACATTTTTTTTAGTGTCATTCAAATGTATAATTTGGTTAAGGTCTTAAAGGTTGTGACTCTACAGAGAAGAGATCAGCAACAGATCAGCTTTTATTGAAAGGAAAGGTTAACGAAACCAGAGGTACTCTGTAATAAACATTAACCAAATTACAGAATAACAGTTGGAAAGGACCTTGGAGGTCTTCTAGTCTAATCCCCTGCTCAATCAGGAAACTCTATTCCAGGGGTGTCAAACTCAAGTTTATTGAGGGCCGCATCAGCATTGCGATTGTCCTCGGGGGGCCGGGTAGATGTGGCCAGGGTGGGCACAGCCTACTGGGTGGGTGTGGCTGGAGTGGGTGTGGCCTACTGGGTGGGCGTGGCCAGCTCTACATCGTTCGCGTCAAGGGTGCCTGTGGGGGCCTGGGCAGGAATGGGACAGATCTTAGGATCTCTCGTAGAAGGGGGTGGGACCAAAGCAAGTGCCAAGGCATGGTCCACTGGAACAGCCTGCCGAAACCCCTCCCCCAGAGCCCATCAAGCCAGATATATGAAGTAGGCGAGGGCCATTTGCTGGCCACTTCCAGGTGATGGTGCATTTCTTCATTCCTCACAAAGGGTGACACCTCCCCAATGCACACCCAGAGGGTGGGGCCAACGTGGCAGGGGCCGGTCCCTTGCTGTTTCCAGACGGCCTTGTGGAGCTAAAACTGAATGTTTCAGCATAGATGGCCACCACAAAATTGTACATTGGCTCCTGGGCGGCCACTGTTTCCAGGATGGCTTCGCGGGCCACATGAAACCACATTGCGGGCCACATCTGGCCCCCGGGCCTTGTGTTTCACATGTCTGCTCTATACCATTTCAGACAAATTGTTGTCCAATTTCTTCTTAAGAACCTCCAGTGTTGGAGCATTAATTTTTAAGACTCTGGTTTTGTATCACTTAAGAATTGCATCATTTAAGGATAGGCTATTTCATATATTAAAGTAGGGATGACATGGATTTTGGTTTTAATGTAAATGAAAAAAATGGTCTGCATGTAAATTCATTCAGTCACATTTATTTTTGTTTTAATGGTTACATTTACCTTCGGCTTAAATTTTAAATTAATTACAAAGATGGTGTCAGGGAAGAATCATTGGTTGGTCTCATCTTTTTAAAATTCACATTTCCCCTCCAGCCAGCCTTTTGCTCATATGGAAACTCTAACTGCTTATGATGAATGTCACTATACTTTAACAAACCATATAAAGTTTTAAACAGATATGGAAGAACACAGCTTGTAACTTTTCAGAATAAAAGTGGCCTGTAGCATACCAGTCAGTTTGCATATGTAACAATATGATAGACCAGGGGTAGGCAACCCAAAACACTTAAAGAGCCACTTGGACCCGTTTCCCACCAAAAACAAAACACTGGGAGCCGCAAAACCATTTTGATATCTAAAATGAAGATAACACTGCATATATCCTTTTTTACCTTTATTATAGGTGTGTGTGTGTTTGTGTGTGTATATGTATGTGTGTGTATGTGTATATATATATATGTATATGTATATGTATGTATGTATGTATATATATATATATATATATATATATATATATATATATATACATACATACATACACACACACACACACACACACACACAGAGGTAAAAAAAGGATATATGCAGTGTTATCTTCATTTTAGATGTCAAAAGGGTCTGTCTCTCTCTCTGTCTCTCTCCCTCTCTATCTGCCCTTGGTCTGCCACTCCTCTTCCCCCGCTCTCTTTCTTTCTCTCTCTCTCTTTCCTCTCTCTCTCTCCCCCCTCTCTCTTTCTCTCTCTCTCTTTCTCCCCCCCCTCTCCTATCTGCTGCTCACCTGACAAGCTTCAGGCTGTTGTCCAACAAGATCAGGGGTAGGCAACCTCGTCTCTTTTATGACTCATGGACTTCAACTCCCAGAATTCCTGAGTCAGCCTAGCTGGGCTAGCTAGCTCTCTCCTGCCCTTCCTGCTTCCTGCAGAGACGCAGCAAAGGGAGGAGCTCCGCCCAGAAAGCTTTTCAGCTCCTCGGAGAATACTGTGAGTGCACTCTCTTTTTTTTATACACACACACACACACACACACACACACACACACACACACACACACACAGAGAGAGAGAGAGAGAGAGAGAGAGAGAGAGAGAGAGAGAGCAGGGAAGCACAATTCCTCTCTCTGTCTCTGTCTCTCTCTGCAAAGGCAGAGGAGGCTGGGAGCCGCAGGGGAAGGCTCAAAGAGCCGCATGCGGCTCCGGAGCCGCAGGTTGCCGACCTGTGTGATAGACCATTGTGTGATACTGAGTAAATACTTGGGAATGTATTTGAAATGGTAGGGTTAAACACTCCTCCCCCATTAATTCTAAAGTTCAATAAAATGTTTATAAAATGATTTTAATTATTATTTGATTTCCAAAGGGTTTGCTGTAAGCCTTCAGGTGATTTTATCCAACCCCAAAGCTGTATTTAGACGCCACGGGACACAACCTGGGATGCAGGAATCTGACTTTCTGAGGCAGATTACCACAATGGAGGAACTGGAGCCCAAAGCCAGCAACTGCACAAAGGTACCAATGTTATTTCTACAATGGCCATTAGTCTCCAATTCAACTTGTGGAGAATCAATGCCAACTAATACTTTTGTTCAACTTTTTCCAGGTTCTCGTATGGCATACTAGAACAGAAAAGGTAAATCTAGCTAATGAGCCAAAGTATCACCTGGACAATATCAGAATTGAAGTGTGATCTGTCAGCACAAATGGGATATGCCATAATTAATGGATGCATCAGACATGCTTACCATATTCAGACTGTACAAATTGCTGTTGTACAACTGCAGCCTCTAACAGCCTAATGGAAGACTACTGGCAGATAGCTGAAGAAATGTCTACTTAGGCTTCACTTACTTTGCATGCATTTCTCTGTCCTGCTTTAATTTTCTAACTGTTCACATTTCCTTTACACATGTTCAGTGAAGAGGCGGTAATGCACTGAAGTTATTAGTCTAAAAAAAATGAGAAGCGTTTACGGCGTGGCTTCCAGGTTTATTCCTGAATTTAAAAAGCATTGTTTTTAAGAATAGACACAATTCTTATAGAATAAAATAATTACACAATGTTTATGGATTTCTTTAATATAGGGAAGCAACTGCTTATCAATATGAGGCACCATAAAATGTAAACACAATTTACTGGCAGAAACCTGGATACAACTGCAATGACAAAATTAAATATATAATTTGAGTTACCCTGCATAGATGCTGTGCAGTACACTGCTGATTAATCCTGTACAGTTCTCTGTTGGTCAAACCAGCTTCTTTTGACACGGGCAACTCAAAACAGTGGAAAGAAAATTGATGGAGTAGCAGTTCCCTCCAGGTTTATCTCTCTCTTGTGAGCCATTTTCCCTGCTCATCACACCATTATAATATCACAGTGAAATGAATGATGAAACAAAATCATTATCACACAAGGAAATGCATATTTCAATGATACAAGGTACATTCTTATTTATATAATTAACGTTTTGTTCATACAGTACCTTCTACAGGATCACTGGGTAATTTGCAAGGTGGAGTTTACATTTTAGAGATAGCACTAACATGATACCTATTTCCCTTATATGGAAACAAATGCTCTACAAGATAAAATAATTTGAGTATGCAGTTGGTCGTGTAGCTTTTCTGAAAAGTAAAATTTGCAAAATCAAAACATTGTGGAATGAAGAAAGCTGCCAATGTATTCAACTTGCTTTTCACTACATCAGAATTGAAGTCAGTACAGACCACAACACGGTCAGTTAAGATTACTTTTAAAATGAATGTTTGAAATTGGAGGAACGGGTAGTGTACATGGACAGAACAGGGAAACTAGATGTATTCGGGCATGGAATGTCGGGTCTCTTGATTTAAACTTCTATTGCCTTTTCACTTCCAGAGTTGTGTACTGAGGGTTTGGCCCGAAGAACTTCCAGTCCATCCTGCCATTGTGTTTGGTGGTTGGCCAAAGCCCATCATATTATTGGAACTATTCAGAGTCATTCCAGCCATTTGCTGATTCATCTGTGAAACATACACACAAGATTGTGGTTAGGTGCAGGCATCCAAACATTTCATACTTTATACTGAAGTGCGCATGTGCATGCACGTACGTGCACGGACACATGCACACACATAATATCGATAGGTAGATAGACAGATAGATGACAGAAAGACACTGATGTATTTGCTTACAACATTAATTTCTCACAGCTCAAGGTTTTTAAAAAAAATTAGGTAAGAAACCCCTCCCAAATACAACCTTTTAAAAATGTCTGAGATTTGATTGATTAATATATTTTTATATACTAAGAAAATATAGAGGTAATGTACAGATTGCAATCCATGTGCATATCATGTTTTTCCACTAATGTCCGTATGAAATAATCATGGCTGAGTGATCAATTTTGCAATTTCAATAGCAATGCCGGCATGAAAAGTAAACGTACTCAGGAAACTTGTTTCCTGCCCAGTTTATCAAAGCACTGAAGTAGCACTCTGGCAACAAGTGGAATAGCTTTCAGTTAAAAGATAAATATAGATAATTATATTCTGCCTTTCCAACACCTGCATAATACTTACATTCCAGATTTAAAAAATGAAATTTGGTTACTATGCATTTTAAATGTCTCTTATAAGAATCCACGAGTACTAAAGGAAAACCCCATGGCCTGCCACAATTTCCACTGCACTGTGAAATGTAATTGTGAGTAGAAGGATTTGTTCAAGTCTAATTAGTTTTAACATATGGGATAGCAGTTAGATTGAAGAGGCTGAAGTTATATAGATGCAAAGGCAAACTAAATCACACCAGTCGCTGGGAGTTGGGTGGTGTAAAAATTAGATTAATTAAAAAAAAAAAACAACTTCAAAATGTAAGTCATTCAAAAACTATCCATCCTATCAAGAGGTGGAAAAACTGGAGCGTAATCTTGCTGGATTTAAGAGAATGAGAAGAAACATAAGGCCAGGGAAACAGGATTGGAATGGAGGGCAGTGACTGGACACTGAGAAAACTCATTGTACTGCAAGCCCTGAAAACCTATTAATATTCCTGATCAAATCTTGCTTGCCCATCCCTCTGGAGGCCTTTTCCAAAAGAGCCCACCAGAAAGGATGTTTAAGTGGAAAACCTTATTAGCTCCAGTCAGCATAGCCCATGTTCAGGATATATGGACTTGGAGCAAGGAAGAGACAGGACGTTAGCCACCTGCATCTTCAAAGGTTTGTATGTCATATTCGGTCCTCCATTCTCTAAATTACAACTGTGTTAGGTATGAGAAGCTGGCTGTTAAAATCAAGATGAAAAAACACAAACCACAATGAAGAGACCCAATCCAGGAACCAATATAAAATAAAATGAAAATCATAGACCGTATTAATGACCCTCATTTGTATAGTGAATACCCCTGCACTAGGCAGCCTCCTCAATCTCTCAATGAAATTTGGAGAAGCCAAGCTTTGCTGGCTGGCTCCTAGGTGGACAAGTCTCTCATACCTGCCTCTTCCATTTTTGGGATTGTTCCCTTCTCGTTACTCTCCGTTTCCAAGAGGTTTGCACACATGCATGCCTCCACCCCCACCCCACTCCCTTTGGATATTAATTCAGGCCTTTTCTTATTTTACCCCTTACGGTTCCAGGTTAGTCTAGTGCAGGGGTAGGCAACCTTGGCTCTTTTATGACTCGTGGACTTCAACTCCCAGAATTCCTGAGCTGAGGGGAAAGGGAGAGTTTCCAAGCTGAGCCATGCTGGCTCAGGAATTCTGGGAGTTGAAGTCCACGAGTCATAAAAGAGCCAAGGTTGCCTACCCCTGGTCTAGTGCCACAAGAATCAAAACAGAACACAACAGATTGTTCTTTTGCATCTATAGTTCTCAGTAGGTCCACAGAAACTGTACAGGTCGTGCTCAACTTACAACAGTTCATTTAGTGACCATTCAAAGTTATAAATGGCACTGGAAAAATGACTTATGAACATTTTTCATAGTTACGACATTATAGCAACCCTTCGGTCACGTGATCAAAATTCAGATGCTTGGTTCATATTTATGACGGTCGCAGTGTCCCGGGGTCATGTGATCCCCTTTTGAAACCTTCTGACAAGCAAAGTCAATGGGGAAGCCAGATTAATATAATAATAATAAAGTTGGAAGGGACCTTGGAGATCATCTAGTCCAACCCCCTACTCAGACAGGAAACTCTATACCATTTCGGACAAATGGCTGTCCAATCTCTTCTTAAAAACTTCCAGTATTGGAGCATTCACAGCTTCTGGAGGCAGGTTGTTCCACTGGTTAACTTAATAACCATATTACTAACTTAACATCTGCAGTGATTCACTTAACAGTTGTGGCAAGCAAGGTCGTAAAATGGGGCAAAACTCACTTAAGAAATGTCTCACTAGAATGGAACAAAACTCTTCTGCCTCAGCTCTGAACTGCTCAAGACAGCTCAATTTTTAAAAAAAAACAAAACAAAACACTGTTTTCTGTTTGAAATAGTGCAGGATGTATTTTCGGAGAGCTAGGAATCGGAGGCTAGCAGGGAATGATGGGCAAAGAAGAAAGCATGGATCTGCACTTAGTTTTCTAAAGCTGAAAAGGAAAACAAAACCTCAACCTCTCAACTAGAAGGAAAAAAAATAAGATCTTTCAGGTATCTTTCAGTAAGTAAGATCTTTCAGAAAACTAATTTTGTTATCATTTTAATATAACCCTTCAATTATTTTTCCCCCATTTAACTAGTCCCTGACATCGGAATCCTACGCCTAAATTCTCTAGCCATCCACGTTCCCTCCCAAACAAATGGAAAAAGCGCACACTCACCTGTGAAAGGTTCCACTGAGTTTGTTGTGTTTGCGGCTGAATGCCGTATTTCTGTGGCTGGGGTATCTGTCCCAATACTGTTCCTTGGGGCCCACCGAGGTTTTGAGGGAGTCCCAAACCAGCAGTTTGTGTAGTGACTGAAAAGCCATTTGGCATTCCCATGCCCACCATCATGCCTACGTTCTGTCCAATTACAGGCACCGATGGAGCCATCATGTTTGCCATCATTGCGGGGGTCGATGGCACCGGTACAGGCAGAGGCAGAGGCACGGGGCCTCCCATGGCTGGAAACGTTGGAAAATGAGCCGAGGGCTGGGCGGCAAAGGGTAGCGGCTGGGGCCCCATGAAGACTCCTGTTTGGGCAAAAAGGAGTGGAAAGAAAAAGAGGAGGTTTACGCCAATCCAAGCTCATAGATATGTCCAAAATGGCTTTCCAAATAAGATTGGGGAGGGATGATGACAATTTTTAAGAGCCATGTTTACCTTCCATGCATGTTGCAATTTTCAGATTGGGGAGGACTGTAAAAGCTGTTAATAAACAAGTAGGGAACAGTATGGACTCACGTTATCCACCGATGCCTAAATGCAAGTTTGGAAATATTGCACTCATTAATGGGATAGAAAACCAATTTTCCTCTGGCCATGTTTTATATTTCCTTCGATCCTTTGTTCATTCTCTCCCTGCATAAGATTACCTCTATAATGTGGGGGGGGCATGGCTTTATTATTTGTAGGGCTTTTTTGCAGTCGAACAAGCTGAGAGTTCCTGAAAAAAGCTACACGTTTTGCACATCAATTACTTTACATGCAAAAAACATGCAAGATATACTGATTGAAAGTTACAAAAATTGCTAGTACATGAACCCCTGAACCATGGAGAATGAGGTATCATCTTATTTACCAAGCACAAATCTGGGAAACCAGGGGTAATGGAACTGTGGATAACCAAGACCTTGCAACTACATTATTCTCAAGCCAAGGCAGAGGGGAATTAATAGAAAAAACAGTGGATTAACCACAATCACCTCCATTTCTGCCTTTTAGAAGGTCAGCTTCATCTTTTAATACCAGGTGAGTTAGAGAAAATCAATGACCGGGCAATTAATTAATGTTAAGAAACAGCTTCCCTCAAGCACCTTAATGACGAACTATTTAATTACTGAGGGTTTTTCTAAAGCAGTGATTGAAAATCTTAGCTTAATTTTCAGTGATTCTTAATTTTCAGTGATTCTTAATCAAACTTCAACTTTTGGGTGAAAAAATCAGTCAATAGTTCTGGCAAAAGCAGAATGTTTCTACCTACTGTAATAAGTGGGAAAAGAACTTATCAGGGAAAAAAGGGGGCAGTCCCACTTCTGTTTGACTCTCCCCTCCTTGCCCCCACCTATTGGCATGTTATTATGTGTGGTCTAGACCAGGGCTTTTCAACCAGTGGTACGGGTACCACCTGTGGTACATTGGCACCTGGCAGGTGGTACGCGAGCATCCTAGAAAAGTGGTAGCGGGGGAGGGGAATGAGCTGAACTGGTGGCAGCACCGCACAAGCGTGAGCGAGAGATGGCTGGAGCTGCAGGGCTGTCAGGGCTCAGCGGAAGCGCCAGGATCAGCGCCAGGCTCCAGCTGGAGCTCTGCACTGATCCTGGCGCTTCTGCTGAGCCCAGAAGCGCCAATCAGCTGGAATGTTGCAGCATCTCCAGGATCTTGTGATTTACATTCAGATGCTTGTCAACCGATTCATATTTATGACAGTCACAGTGTCCCAGGGTCATGTGAAGTGACCAAAACCTGCTGCAACCACCCAGCAGATGGGGGGAATAAAAACCAAACACCCCCACCCCACCCCTGCTGCCAATCCTCAACAGAAATGCCTCACAACCATGAAAACCTCAGACAGGCGAGCGGGCAGGCAGGTGTCTTGCTCGGCTGTGGCTTGGGGAGCACTTTTTTCAGTGCCATTGTAACTTTGAACAGTCACTAAACGAACTGTTGTAAGTGGAGGACTACCTGTACTTTATCACTTTTTTCCTTTTTTTTTTTTTTTTGGCCATCAAGTTTTTTACACCTTGCTAGGCGACTGGTGGTACTCAGATGTTGCCATATCCTAAAAGCGGTACAATGGGTGAAAAGGTTGAAAAGCCCTGGTCTAGACCAAACCAAAAAAACAAAGGTTGGTCACTTCAATTATAAAGTTATTTAAATTCTATCTAGTTACATTGTTTTTATGTTCTAATGAAATCAGAACAATTTCCAACAATTTAAATGTTTAAGGATGAAAACATTTCCTAACATAGTAACTTTGATACAATTGATCTAAGTGAAAGGGGGGGGGAGAGGGATGTCCATTTAGTCCCAAGTCTCAAATGTCTGTTATATCTAAATCTTCCATGTTAATTTACATCATTTATATAATGATGCAATTTGCATTACTATATAAATGATGGGAACTCATGCAAATAGCGTATATTTTAGTGAATTTTTAATACAACAAATTTAGTCTGCTATTTCAGGGAAATGTCTGGATGTAGATTTTTTTTTCTGCTCCCCCTAAAGTCTCATAAACGCAACCTGTTAAATCCATTTTACTGAACAAGCAGAAGCCTTTATTTCAAGTCATGCCATCTCTCTTAATTCCTTTATTTTTTTGATTGACTTTTTACTTGTCGTTAATCTACCCGTTTGTTCATCATCTTTTGTTTCAGAATAAAAGTAAAGGTAAAGGAGTCCCTGTGGTTTTACTCTGCTAGTTATTTAGGATGCTGTGCTCATCTCTGTTTCAGAATATTTTTACACAGTTCTTTTATCATGAACAGTTTGCTGCTTAAAATGTTCTTTTTTTTCCCATATAAATCTCTTCTCCATCCCTTCCTCCACACTTTTGGGGATTAATTACATTGAAGTGCAGCGGTATATTACATCTGATTTAGGACAGATGCAATAGTCCCAGAATCATTTTTAAATTTAATTTGCCAAACTATTTCCAAAAGGTAAGCAAGCATAATGGCAGAAGTATACTATAGTAGAATACAGAGGTCTACAACCTTTCCCGCCTCATGGTCTAGAGGGAAGGAGAGCAGCTTCCAAATTGGTGTATGCCGTTTGCACACACAAACAAGGCTGCGTGCACTGGTGCAGCACTAGCAGCTCCATTCGCACATGCGCAAACGGCCGCGTACACCCACCAGCGCTAACGGCCCCATTTACCCATGCACAAACGGGCTGGGCACACCCGCCCCATGCTAGCAGCCCTATTCGTGCTTGTATGCATGGGCAAACGGCTGTGGGCGCTAGTGTGAGTGGGGGTGGGAGTGTGTGCATACGCATGCGTGCACCGGTCAGCCATTGCCGCGGCCCAGTAGTGGGCAGCAGCCCATAGGTTGGGGACCCCTGTACTAGTGGACATTATTACAGTAATAGTAAAACAACACAATAGTTTGGTATCATTGTCATGTTGCCATAGCAATACAACAATGACCAGCAAGGTCCTTCTAATATGCTATTGAGGAATTTTAATTAGTATCTATTCATTGGAGAAGTCTTCCTAGATGGGAGGCTGTAATTTCCATTAAGCATGTCTCTGAATTAAGTTCTACATGAAAAGAAGTCAGCCCTAAGGAAAAGAAAATAAAGGAGAATGAAATACCTCCTCTCCCCATGCTACTGAGCACTCAGTGCTCAGGAATACTTAATTAAGTTGCTTTAAATACATACAAATATTCAAGACTGGCCATTTGTTTTAAATAGGTGTTTCATAATAACTTATACAATGTAAATCCAGACTCATTTCTACCGGAGCATCTCTTTTTATAGAGAGAAGACCTAGCCACAGGTTCTTAGGAATCTTTTAAATAATGCAGACTGGAAGTAAATTACCTGGGGCATTCTGCTGGGGAAGAGTGCTCGTGCCATACAAGGACAAGATGGAATCCTTGGAGAGCGGCTTCTTTGCTGACTCTTCCAGTTTTGTTTGTTCGGTAAACAGATCAAGATCTCCAGATGCAGCACATAACGTGGCAGCCGCTGGGTTGGTGGAAGCACTCTGGGAAATAAAAGTCAAAGACTGATGAAAACAAAACAGTGAAGATAGAAGTATGTGGTTAAAAATTGTATAGCAACTTCAGAGGCAAGTAGCAAAGTTCCCAAGTATTGGGATCACAAATTTATTTACAGTACATCCATAACAATAGGTATAAATTGTATATTCTTTGCATGTCACAACAGCTATAGTAATGTAAACAAATAATTAACAGTAGTTCCACATTTTATGCAGCAAATGTATTATTTGCAATTAAGATGCAAAAGGCATATTTTCTGTTTGTGTGTATATATCTGGAAACTGACTAGATTAAGATCACATGTGCATCTATGTCAGTTTATGCTTTATATTTGATAACTGTAAGTAAGATGTCTTCAGATACCTTTATCATTTTTTGTGGCTTTCTTAAAAAGTCCCTTATTTCCATATCACTGCTAGAATTCTCTCTAGGATCTGCTTTACAATGCCTCCCTTTTTCAAAAGAAATTACCATTAAGTGAGAATTCAATTCTGCCTTTTTCCTCGGGTAATTTAAAGAAATATTATTTGGAAGAAGGAACTCGTTACAGCTGAAATACTGAGCAAAATTTTCATCACGAATCAGTTTTTCACAAATGTAATTAAATGAACTGGGTGAACTTCTGTAAGCTGATACTTATTCTTAATTAAGAATAAGGTTCAAAGAAAGAAAGCCTCAAATAGTTTATAAAGCTTGGATTCCCAAACTTTTTAGGTGTGTTTCATAAAAGACACACACATCCCTATCATAATTACAATCAGTTTTGCATTGCGCCCTGCATAGGAATGATGAAAAAGGCAACAGATCAAATAGTTTGATCATTAGAAATTATTACAATTTAATGATATGTTCATCTTTTCTTCCATTTGAAAGGTATAAATTAGCAACCAGGTTAATAGCTCATTATTTCCCAATCTAGCCAAGGATGAGTGAAATAAAGGCTTCTTCAACTAATCTCTAGTTCTTCTGATACAAGGAGCTATGTTTGACCTTACATTTATTTTATAATGCAACACAAAAATATAATGCATTTCATTGGTAACCACTGATTTTGGGGTGCCTCGACTGAAAGAAGCATCAAGGACAAACATTCTTAAATACTTTCCAACGAGCTATTAAATTTTCCTTTAGTGTTTCCTTTAGGTTGGCATTGTAAATTGCCACAGATATTACAGGTCTTAACATACAGATGTCCTAACTTAACAACAATTCGTTTAGCAACTGTTCAAAGTTAAAGGCAGCATTGAAAGGTTCTTACACCTGGTCCCTAAAGTTATGGACGCTACAGCGTCTCCATGGTCACATGATCGAAATGTGGGTAGCAGGCAGTACACCTGCACTTATGAGCACAGGGGCACTCAACTCTTCCTGTGTGCTTATATCCCCCACCCACATGTGCCATTCTGGCTGCTCTGTACAACACTACTCAGCAGATCCAATGCTGAGTAGAGGCCTGGGGCTTGGATCAGGGTGGGTCCTTGCTGAATGACCAGTGTTATTCTGTTAATGATGGCATCAGGGACAGACATGATTCTCATTGTGAAATCATGCCATGTGATTTCACACTTTATGACTGCATTGTCTAGTGATAGAAATTCCGGTCCCCATTACTGTCATAACTTGAGGACTACCTAGACATTAATGGCATGGCAACATGCTGCTTTAACCATGTATTCTATTTGTAGCCCCCAATGTAACCTTGATAGCGTGTCAAACACTGACATAAATAATTTCTCCTTCTATTATTTCTGATACAAATTCCAAAAGTCAACTAACATATTAATAGGTTTTTACACCTTACCTGAGCAGGTGGTATAGATGTGGCTGGCAAAGGATTAGAGATCATTGGGCCAAATATATCCAGGTCATCATCATTCAGAACTGGGGCAGGAGCGATAGTACTTCCGTTTGTAACAGAGGAATCAGCAGGACCATCTTACATTTTTTAGAATGAAAAATATTAAAGATTGATAATTGTGAAGCATACACATAGCACAGAGGTACGCTAATTCTGCTAAAAGGAACAATGCAGGTAGTTCTTGATACCCTCCCCCCCAGGTTTCAATGGTCACCCCATGACCTGCATTTCCGGTGTTTGGCAACTAGGCTGCATTTGCAGCCACTTGTAGCCTCCTGTAGTCATATGATTGTGATTTCTGACATTTTTGCTGAAAACCACCATTTAATTCCAATTTTCGGCAAAAGCATCTTAGAGCAAACAACTGGTTCAACCATGGCAAAAAAGATTGTAAAATCAGGTTGGTCACATGGGTGATCTGCTTTATGACTGTCATGGCCCATGATCGTAATGTAAGTCAAGGACTACCTGTATATTGGGAAGAATCACCAAGTGTTTCATAAATTGTACTTAGGCTCTACCAATATTAAGCCAACATCTTATCATTAAAATTTACAACAATAGAATGCAATATTTCCATAGTCTCTTGGAAAATAACAAATAGGACAGAAGGTAGCACTTAATTCAGAGCTTGTTAAATTAGGCTGAAGATGCTGAAGTTCCCCCATCTGTATTTTACAGAAGCTGTAAATAGTCTGCTTAAGGCAAGGTCTGTTTTAGATATTGTGAGTCTGAGGTCAAAGGTACACAGACTCAAAACAAATGGTGGGTAGAAGAAAAGTAAAGAGGTTTTTGGTTTACATGGTCACAAGTTGTAGTCACAATATATGCAGTGGCCAAAAGAGATGCCCTAGCCCAGGGGTTCCTAGCCCCTAGCCCTCTTGGCCACTGGGCCGCATGAAGGGATGGCCAATGCATGGGCGTGTGTGCGTGCACTCACCGCCCACACTTGCACTAGCACCGCTGCAAGTGTCCCTTGGCGCTACTGCTGCCCCGACACAAGCATCCCGCCAGCAGTAGCACCACCTTGAGGATCTTGCCGGCATTAGCACTTCCCCACCCTGAGCATCCCGCCAGCACTAGCACCGCCCCAAGCATCCCGCCGGTGCTAGTTTGCACATGCACTCGCACACGGCCCATTTGTGCACACGTGCACTCAATGATGCCTACCTCCCTTTCCAAGCTGCCAAACCAAAAAGATTGGGGACCTCTGCCCTAGCCTATTCCAAACCCATAGGAAATGTTATTCCTATCTACCTAGGTAATTCTAAAAGGAGATGAACCACTAGTTTGAAAAATAACTGGTAGCTGACTAAAAAATAATGTAATTTTTCATTTATTTTTTTCTAGATGTTGAATGAAATCTTTGTGATAGCCTTAAGAACCATCCTCCTACTAGTGCAAAGTTAGAAACAGCCTCAGCAAAACAGCCTCAGCATCAAGTTTCAACTGGATAAACATGAAATTAATTCTCTCTAGATATTTTTTTTCCCTCTCTTCTCTCAGCATGAAATTTGCAGCAGACTATTGAACTATTTTTAACATATTCATCTACATTTTATAGATTTACAAAACTGTAAAATAGTATTGCAAATTATGCTTTGAAGTTTGCTTTCAGTTCCAAAGGACTAGAGCTCTGTAATTTATGCATTTATTTATAACATATCACACATTTCCACTATAAAGATGAGTTTCTGTTTTTGGAGTTTTCTTCCCTTTGGGATTTACTTCGTCCTGCTTTGCCTCTAAAGGTAAATTCTTTGAAAAAATGCCTAATTTAATACCTACATTAGACTTAAAAAATAAAATGTGCTCTACAGCAATATCCTAGATGTAGGCCAACACCAAATATATACATTCTGGCATTTAATATTCGTCCAGAACAATTTATAAATAAAGTTTAAAGTGAATATAGGACGTCTCCAAGAGGATCTGCCAAACCTCTTTCTTTGATTCCTTTCTCTATTAGAGCAAAAATCTTTAGGAGGTTAATATATATATTTTAAATCAGCTCAAAAGCTTAGCAGGTACTGTACGTGCACTAGGTTTGCAAAAATTGGAGAAACTTGGCAATATCTTCTCTGAATACGCTTTTTAATGGGTTAGTTTCCAAAACTTCAGAATTTTGGGACTATGTGAGTAAACATAATTAATGGAAAGATAAAAATATTCTATTTGGCCTATTTAATTTCTACTGGATCTGCTAAGTGTATTTTTATATCATTTTCTGTGTAGTCATCACAAACATTAAATACATGCTTTACATGCACATATATTACACATACACATATATAAACACAGATGAAGCCAGTGCATTAAAACACTGCAGATTTATAAAAGGGAGAAGAAAAACAAGCTAAATAACTTTTCCATGAAATTTACCCAAGAAAAGCCAGGATGAAGATAGGTACTTGGAGAGGTCCCCAAATTTCCTTAGTGTCTCAGTATGTTTTTCATTGAACCCCTAGGGCCTAGGCCAAAATTGTAATTAATAACCCCATAGCGCCACAATGTAGAGTTTGGGAACTATAGATCTGAACAATACAATAGTAGTCAGCTTGTGGATTTCAGTGGGAAAATAAGTGAGTAAATTGCAATTATTATGAGTCAAGATTATCCTGTGTTGCTTATAGCAAGGACTTTGTGAATTAACTTAGTGATCAACTAAGATTATCTAAATTTATCCCCCGTATTATGAAGAAGGCACATTGTCAAGGGTGCTGATTCATCAAGCTGTTTAAGAACATACTTGCCATTGCAATTGCTTATTAGTTATTTAACAACTAATGGGCCAATGATGCACTCGAGAAGCCGGGCGCAGAGACAGGCAGCTATATAGGCAAGCTCCCTAATCACCTAGCATTCTAACTCTGATGACGTCAGTAGTTTGGCTGATGAAAGCTCAGTAACTCTTTTACTTACAGGCTTGTTTATATTAAACGGTCCTGTTTATTTTTATCCTGGTGTTCTTTTTTCTATATTTTTATTGATGTGTGTGTGTGTGTTAAGAATTTCATTCAGCAATCTGTCATATTCTATACCAACTGTAACCTGTAAAAACACAAATATAGCTCTTTACAATAATCAAGGTGTGAGATAATATAGGAACTACAGAACAGTGAAGTCTCAATTTTGATGAACCTCTGCTTAGTAGACATGGCATGTAAGTTCTGTTAAGACAGTCTTCAAAATAACAAAGTCTGTTGCATCCAAGGTAACCTGGATGAAGCAATTAAATTACATTAATTTTTATCTTAGCTTACTTTACCTTACAATATCTACGGCAATTTACAGAATTTAAACATTACACAAATGACTTAAATTGCCAGGGTAACATACGTGCATATAAAATGGATACTCGGGAATAAGAGACAACCTTTCACTGTGGTTTCACTGTAGTTAGATTGCCTCTACCCAGGAAGTTATATCCAAACAAAACTTGTCAATTGATATTCCTAGCCATTAAGTTGACCCTCCAATAAAACTGGTTTTCAGGGGGAGAATTGGAATGGAGGGGGGAGAGGTTAAAGGGCAAACTACTTTCTGCAGTAATTGCTGAGTCTACATGACACACTGGCCTTAGTAGACTGATCCCAAACATATTCCATTCATATACCCGCTTCTCCATGTAAAGATAGATAAATTCCCTCCACAGCCACACAACTTTCTTTTCTCTCTGTGCTCAGAAAAGGGTGGCACATAAATAGAAAAGTCTGGCCATGTTAAAAAAAAAACTAGTTAGTTGTTGGAATAAATGGGGTTAAGGAGAAGAAATTCCAGTTAGACCTTGGAAGAAATCAGTGGGTTGGATATGAAAACTGACATCTATTTTGAATTCTAGAGCTTGAACTATTCATGCTCAAGTGAAAAGTTTCCTCTTTTTAGCTGTAAAATCCTTGAATTAAATAATCACCTTTTCTCAGAGAGAAGGCGATTATTTAATTCAAGAATTTTATAAATAAATGCACAAATAAAGAGTTTATGAGATGCTTCATGAATAACAAGTTCTTCAGTGGCAAACAGCACTTTCCTAGAAACAAAGGGGCATTTGCCCACAGGCATCCATATGTCAAGGGTTCTATATTGCACTACAGCAGTGTTTCCCAAACTTGACAATTTTAAGGCATATGGACTTCAACTCCCAGAATTCTGGGAGTTGAAGTCCTCATGCCTTAAAATTGTCAAGTTTGGGAAACACTGCACTACAGGAACTGCAGTTCCTATAATAATCTATCAAAATATGTATACCTTAAAATTGAGATCTCCTTTCAATGGGATCCGTATGAAAGAGATTTACAGTTTTCAAGATGTATGAATTATAACTATCTTTTCGCAATTGCATATTTTATAATACATTTCAAGTATCACCTCCAGGGAAGTAGTGATTCTTTTTAAGTAGAATCTTTAAGCAGAATTCTTTCTAAGGAGTGAGTTATCTTCTCCTTTTTCTCTTAGCAAAGATAAGCCACAGGAATTTGTAAAACTCATCCACTGGCCATTGTGATCCAATTTGGTTACATTTTATATTTTAATTCATTAAAATAAAACACTTAACTTAGGTAAACATACTTTCTATCAATTGCCTAAGCAATACAGGTAGAACTGTAAGAAAATATATGCAGAAAAAAACTGAATTTGTATCCTGCCCAGCATTACTTGCTTGTGAGATAGGCAGCTATATAAATTAGACAGATGATAGATAGATTTAAACTGATTAAACTGATTCATTAAACACAAAATATTATACTTTTTTTTGCAAACTTTCAAGATCGATTTAAAATAGTGCAATACATGCTTTCCAAAATTTATTCTCTGTCCTTAAACAGATATGAGATGCTATGGAGATTCACTCCTGCAACGCCTGCTTGGAAATTTAACTTAGTTAACATCACAGCTGCTCCACTGAGGAGATTAGCCAATATGTGTATCACTCACAGTACTTAACAGATGCTCTGAGATACCTTTTAGTTATCTTAATGTCTACTCCAATATTATTCTAATACTGAATATCTTTTATTTTTCCAAGTTTGAGATGAGGTTAAATTTACCGTATAACTTTTGATTTTGTGATCTGGTT